TCCCCCCCCCCCCCCCCCCCCCCCTTCACATCTGGAAACCACAGAGTAGGGGCCTGGAGAGGTAGCAGTCTCCATCCATGGGAATTCTCACACTTCTACGAAATAAAACTGTGAGCAACCTGACCTACCTTGGCAGTTTTGGAGGTGGGGTTGGGCCAGGTGACCTCCAGAGATCCTGCTTGACCCAAATTGTTCTACTACTCTGCAGCAGGACTTGTCCTGCTGATGAAAAGTTCCACCACAGAGTAGGGGCCTGGAGAGGTAGCAGTCTCCATCCATGGGAATTCTCACACTTCTACGAAATAAAACTGTGAGCAACCTGACCTACCTTGGCAGTTTTGGAGGTGGGGTTGGGCCAGGTGACCTCCAGAGATCCTGCTTGACCCAAATTGTTCTACTACTCTGCAGCAGGACTTGTCCTGCTGATGAAAAGTTCCTACAGGTTTGAGAAAACAGGTGCCTGGTGTGAGGGACCAGCCCTCAATACCCACTGGCTACTGGATCCAGGACTGGTGATTTTCTGTCATCTATCTCTCTAACTTTTCTTCTATTTCTCTTTTCCTTCCTAAAATCATTAAAGAACACATGGCCTACCACAATTTTTCCCAGGTTGTGCAGCTTGAACATACATGTATCGTGACTTTTATAATCAAAGTATCAGCCTTTCTGATTGCACAGCCTAAGCATATATAATAAGTATCAGCATTCATTTTGTGGCTCTAATTAAAGCTAATGTTCAAATACAGATCTTGAGTGTTGTTTCACCTTAATCTGATCAAGGGGTATCTGATGGTTGAGCATTTCCTCAGACTGCAACACTTAAATCACTCTCCCTGGAAGGGCTAGGTCTGGAACTAAGGCTTGATCCAGCTGTAACTCGGCTCCCCTCTGAGAAGTTTAGAAAGCAAGGGGGTCCAGTGTGAATCTCCCTGGGTTGCCCTACCAAGGTTGTAACATCTGGACAGAAAAGACAGCTCTCACTAGGTCCTTACTGAGGAAGAAGCTTTCGTGTAGCTTAACCCTTCACTAGAAAGTTTGTAAGGAGATGTGGTGGGAGAGAGGGAGGCTAAGTGCCCTAACCAACATCAGAGCTTCAGCAATATGCCCCATCTGAGGTAACACCTCTGAAAATTCCAAGCAAATCCAACTTCTCAAGTTCTGATACTCTCCAGATTACTTTTCTCCTACCTGAACCCCATGGACAGCCCTTTTGAGGGGATCAGACTTTGCCAGAGACCTTGCTGTCACAGCTCCTTTGCCAGCTGCCCTCCCCTAGAGGTGACAGGTTGAGCTATCAGAGCTCGGGCAGTGCTCTGGCCACAAGCCATGCAGGTGCTGCAATGGGAGAGCCTGGTCCTCACCTCACTCCCAGCCTCCACTCAAGTTTTCTGTAGGCTTGCCTGCTGACCACATCACAATGGCATGACAAGATTAACTCGGTATTATCCGTAGTGCTAATGGACAGGCATCCACTGCCCAGTGTTTCAGACCAAACTGGCAGCGGTGCTATTGAAGGCTGGATGGTTTTTTACCACTTTGCGTAGTTTCTCAAGCACAGATAATCAAAACATTGGATTTCAGAATAAGTGTCTGATGTCCCAGCCCAAAGAGATCCTCCTTTGCATGTACATCACCCCATGGCTGGCCAAGTGCCATGGTCTGAGCAAGTTGCAGGGGTGTCACCACCTTTGTGTGGTGGATATTCTTTTTGATGGAATTGTGTTATGGATACGTACAGTAACTCCCATGCTTGGATACCTCTTGGAAGAGCTTCAAACACGTAAGCTCTGGGAAGAGAGGAATTTACCAAGTATGCACACTGTTTCCAGAAGTATGTGTGTGTGCCTCTTGTTGTGCAGCTACCGGAGCAGGGTGGGGGCTAGTGGTTTTGCAGCTCAGCTGCCCTCCTTGCAGGACCTCTCACCCCAAGCCCCATACAGTAAAGGCAGCTCAGTTGTTACTCCTCTTCAGCAGCCCTCTTTGAGGTCAGGTCTATGCAGGCACCTCATTGAGCCTTGGGAACTGAGAAAGTAAAAATGTTTTGCTGACAAGGCTGTATGTGTTCTCTCTCTCAGATGGACACACAGGACCAAGCTCAGTGAGCACTGGTGCAAGGTCAGACATAGAAAGGGGATTTTCAGGAAGGTACAAGGCCTCCATAGTGCCACAGGGCAGGGACCTCAAACTACTGCTGCTGCAAATGAGCAGAGTCCATTGCCTTTCGCATGGGACAGGGCACTTGCCTGGAGAGATGTGCCCAACATTTAACACTGACAATTTGAATATTTAACATTGACAACCTGAGGAGAGAGCAGGCCATCGTGGAAGAAACCAGCAGCTCTAGCTTTCAGAAAAACAAAAGCCTTGACCTCTGTTTATTTCAGAAAATGCCTTCCAGCCCTCCCACAGCCCTACCTCTGAGCTTTCTCTTGGCCTTAATGTTAAACCCAGGTTGCACCAGAAGCAAGAGCCTCTCTGTCCACAGGATAAATACTCCTCCTCCTCAGAGATGAGCACCAGAGCTTAGTTTACATTGCAAGATGCTTTTTGGCCCCATGTGACTGAGCCTTCTCTTTTCCTCAGACCTGACCCTCATGCTTGGCTCAGCCTTGGCCCTGGCACTGCAGCCCTCTCCAAAAACAAGCCTTCCCAAGAGAAGGCTTTGAGCATCAGCTCTCTGTTGAATTTGGCAGCACCTTCTCAGTCCCTGCACAACTGCAGCTCTGGATTTTCTCTTCTACCTAACGCAACTCCTCTGTAATAAAAATACATCAGGTGATTACTCTTCTCTCAGCCCACCTCCCCGGACAGCCCCTTTCCAGCCACTCTCCACCTGTAGCTCCCAGTCCCAACCACAACACAACCCTGAAGGTTTGCTGCAGGACAGGGAAATTGCCATGCAAAGAAAGGCTGGAAGAAAGGGATTCCTGAAGCCTGGAAGATAATTTTCTTGATGGAAATATTAAAGACTTGGTATCACAGGGCCCTGGACAGCCTACTTTTAAGATCCTGCTTTTAACAGAAGGTTGGAACCAGTGTGTGTCAGGAGTCCTTTGAGCCCTCAACAACAAGAGCGTGTTATCTTCAAAGGGGCTAGGAAATGCTACGGAGCAAACTTCAAGCTTTAGCTGGAAAAACATTTCCAAAACCCAAAGCGACCATGTTATGAAAATACAAAAATATTCCCAAGTGAGCCCCAAAACCAAGGAAAAGAAACCTGCCATGAGCCTCATAATGCTGCTGCCAAAGGATTTAGGATGCTGGACACTCAGAGTAACACCCTCACACAGACAGGCACATAGACAACCTCCCTGAGAAAGACCAAACCTTGTGGCCTCTGGACCCAGAGGGCCACTGGAAGGGTAAAAGCACAACCAAATGAAAGGGACAGAGATCAGAAAGTTTACATACAGTGATTTTAACCACTACAAGTTTTCAGCCTCACGTCAAGTACTACTTGGTGCTTCCTCCTCCTCCCAGTCTTCACTGAGTTGGCAAGATAAAACTGCAAGCTTCACATGTACTTGTGATGAAATTTGGAACTGTTGCATCAGGTTAAGAACACAACAAAATCCTTCTGTTTGCTTTCCCCTTTTCAATAGCCAGTTAGCACATCTCCCTGTGATACAGCTATTTTTGTGTGTTACAGCTCATCAGCCCCAACATACACAGCACCTGGCTCAGCTATCTGGTGGGTTGTTATAGAATGGTAATCACACCTGACGGACACCCTACATACACATATTTTACATACCTGAATCAGTATGTGCAACTTCCAACAGCTTAAAAAGCCACAAGAGTGTAAGTGCTCTCAACTTCTGCCCATGTCAGTGACCACCTAAAGTGTAGAGCACTTCACAGAGCCTGTGTCACAGCCTACCCACCACCATCACACAACCCTGCAAGCCACTGCACATCCTTCATTAGATACTCAACAGCTTCTCTTGAAGATCCAGAGGCATCAGAACTTGCTATCATGTATTAGAGACTGAAAGCCTTGGGGAATGTTTATTTGACTTCTGGTTCATTCCATTAATAAGGAGTCAGTGCTTGAAACTCTAAAAAGAGATTCTTCTGGACAAGGAATCTGCAAGAAAATACCTATGAGGAATGGGGCAAGCTGAGCTGAGCCTGCATGGGGCCAAGGATGGACTTTCACAAGATCCCTTCCAGAGGGTGATCTGCTCAAAGCCCAACCACAGAACAAGAGCAGAAACGTGCCCCAATTCCCAGCCTCTGCAAGCGACGCCACACTTAAGTACACCACCTCTAAGTCTAGTTCTCCCTTCCACCTTTAGCTGCTTCAAGGACAAAACTTCCCATCTTTATAGATGAGTGCTCCAGAAACTGTAAAGGTGGTTCACGCTAACTGCTCACTGAGAGGTCACGTTCACCTATCAAACCCACGCCATCTGGGGCTTCTGAAAGATTAAAAAAGAGAGACAAACAAGAGGATTATTAAAAATTTAACTATATACCATATTTATTATCAATCCACAGGATAATCTGATTGCTACATGAGCTCATAAAAGCTATTTCACCTTTACAAAATTAAAAAAAATGTGCCACAAGGATGTAATAACTGCTGATAACCAAGGACTAAATCTTAAAATTATAAATTTGCTGTAGAAAAGATTAAAAAAAATTATATTCACTTTAGAATTTTACTTTGAATAAAATATTCCCCTGTATAAAAAATAAAAAAGCTTGCTCTGGTTAGAATTAGAGTATTTTTCTTCTTCTTTTTAAATCTGGGAATTTGCATAATATCTCTGTAATAGGTTTCTTTTTTTTTTTTCCTATTGTACCACGCGGCATTCAAGCATAGCAGATTAGGAACAAACATGAGAAAAGCAGTCTTAAAACATATGAATTCCACATGGAAATTTTACCTTCCCTTCCTTTCCTCTATTCTTTAAAGACACTTTAGCAAGAATGGCCTTGGAAAAGAATACAGGTGGGGAGGGACCCTCAATGTGCCATTAAGTGGAGCAAGGTAATAAAAGGCCTTTTGTAAGTGCTTTCTTAATAAGGTGCAGAAGCAGACTGCAACGTTGCTAGTACTGCACTATGTACAATATTCACAATAGACTTTTCTTTATTTAAAAATATTCCAGCTAGTTCACATTTTCTCTTCCATTCTGAGGCTTTCAGTTCCATCACAGCCTTGACAGCAAGAAGCGCAGCAGCACCACTTCCCTTGTGGTCAGTTGGTCCTCTTATGAAACACTGGAACCTGCGAGTGGGCCAAAGTTCTTGGGTTGTTTTCCTACATAGCAACCTTGGGAATCCACCTGGGTTCAGGTGTACATACTGATGGCTGGAGTCCTGAGTTAAAAACACTCCAGCACTGGAGTCGGACACAGCAATGTTTTCTATTGCCAAGGCTTTACCTTAGATTTGTCTTGTGTGTGCCAAGGGATGAACCTCTCCTAGAGAAACGTAAAATACAAAACCAAACAAAACAAAGCTAAAAAACCACACCATCAGAGGCTTAGCAGCTCTTGACTCTTGACTGGGTGATGTCTGATGTTTTCTTGATGACGCTGGCCCGTGTCTCGCGGTCCGGCCGGCTGCTGCTTGTGGAAGCTGTGGACATGACTTGTGGCAGAGGGATGTCTGGGAAAGGGGGCCAGGAGCTGTTGTAAGGCAGCGGGCAGCTTTCTTCTTTGATGGTGACTTGGAGGTCAGGCTTGTTGGCTACAAAAGTTGCCATGCTGGGAAGCATATGAGAAGTGTTCCTCATTCCCAGATTGCTGAGATACTGTTTGCCTTCAATGTTTTTCTTCTGCCAATGAAGTCGTCCCTAGAAAAGGGGAAACACAGGAGGAAAGACTAAATGAGCAAATGGAACTTTGCAAAGTGCTGCAAGTAATAAGATGAAGACAGAAACACCCAGAAATTGCAGAGGAATTACCCCATCTCTAAAAGCCTAAGCCTCTGTCTGCTAGCTTTGAATGCCTTTGCTCTCTGCCACTTCTTTTCTGAAATTGTGTACCTAAACCTTGGTGACTCTCCAACACTCAAAAGGCCCTTCCCACGTTTCTGATGGAAAATAAAGGCCTTATTCCCAGTATGCCAGAGACAAAAATGGACAAGGACAACCAAATGCTCAGAGCTCCAAATGGAAGTGTCTCCTCTGTTACCAGAGACAGCTTCTTCCTGCCAACGGGCAGGCACAGAGACTCAGACCTCTCAAACAGCACCATCCAAACTGTCAACACAGGTGAGGCTGCCAGGAAAACCACTGTCACTTGATGGTTTGTCCCCCATCACAGGGAGGAGGTTCACCAAGGAAAGACGAGCATCCAGTCCTTTCCCCATCACACATGCTGCAATGGCATGTTCTGTCAAAGCAGATTTGGGTAGTCATTGTTGGTGGTCTACATACAGGCCCCACCCTAACCAAGGCACGAGAAACAAAGCCAAGAGGGTTAGCTGTACAACCTGCAGCTCTCCAAGAAGGAGGATTCAGAGGGATTTCTGGTGGGCAGAGCAGGAGAGACATTTGCAAGAGGCCTTGGGCAAAAATGCAGCTGGAGCACAGGGCATCTAAGTGCCCTCAGTGTGCTTCCCCTGACCTCTTAGTACCTCTTAGTACTCAAGGGGATCAGTAGGTTTGGTCACTTGATGGCAGCCCCAATAGAAAAGGCCAGTGCTAGTTTTACACAGGTGCAGCTCGGGAAACGTCCATAGGGTGGGTATTTTCTCCAGGGATTCTTTTAACTCAGCAACACCCAACCAACTGCTCAGGAAAGGTTTTTGCCTCAAACACTCAAGCTGCATTTGTAACATACATGCAAGCATTTCCTCCAATTGTATGAGTTCAGGTGCCATTTAAGGAAACCAAAGTGGGCATGCTTTCAACCAAGATAAAATACTCACTACCCAGCAATGTCAATGCATCATATTAACAAGCTAGCTGACACTGTTGATGGTTCTCCAGCACATCTTATTGTGCAAATTAACGAGAAGGAAACTTGTACAGATACCCATTCTAGGACAATCATCCACATGTCCACCTCCCTTGAAACTTCCTGGTTTGTTTGTCTCCCCCAGCTACTAGTAAAATGAATACTCCACTGGTAGACCAAGTGGCAGTCCAAGAAGGGGGAAGTATACCTCAAGACATTGTTCTTGAGACCTTCCTCCAAAGTGCTAAAATGCCACAAAACACTTACCTCTGTATTTTCTTCATCGCTCGGAACGCTGTCAGTTGTTTCACTTTCTGCCAAACAAAACCAAAACAAAAATGAAACTTATGCTGTTCTATCTAGAGTAGCAAAATGCAGCTCAAGAGGCCAAATCTGCTTCCAACAAGTGGAAGCAAACAGAGTCAAGTCAAACAACCAGGAAACAACAGAGAAGCATGGGCCCCTGCCACAGCAGTAGTAACTCAAGGGCTAGACAGCACAGCTGCATTCAACAACTGGGGTAAATTCACATGGTTATCACAGGTGACATGGCTATACCCTCAAAAAGACAGCAATGGAGAGGGAAGAAGTAGATTTGTGCTTTCTGGGGAAAGGGAAGAGCCTCCTGCAAGCAGGGGATGTCCACTCTCCCTTTTCCCTTCTCTTGACAGCTCCAGGCTTGGCTAACAGCTACATTCTGTCCAAATCCTTATTTTATCCTGCAAAACCAGCAACAATGCCACCCCAGGAGAGATAAGTGTGTTTTTGTTTCATGAACTGTTATCTCAGCCTGCCCTCTCAAGGGCTCATTGTTACTTTGGGTGCTTCATTACTGTTGTTATACTTTGCTCCTTTCACTTTTGCCACTCGTGCCCAGCCTCCCCCAGTCTATTTCTCAACCCTTCATCCATTACTTGAGCAAGCAGAAATGCTACTGCTTCCAACCCCATCACCTCCCCTGCCACACACAGCCTCCCTCACCCTCATTACTTCCATCAGAGCTCAAACACAGGGGTATAGCTCCAGCAGGATGGCCATCCTCCTGCAGCTGCATTCCTCCCTTGCAGAAAAGCCTAACATCCAGGAATTTTCATGTTCATGTGTGTCTGAACACAAGTCTCCTGGTGTCTGAGGGTCAGGCTCCTGGCTCCAAACCTTTATTTCCAGGCCTGGCATGCAGTGATGGCTGCTGCCTTCACCACAGCTGCCTGGTGCCCAGACCCTCACCCAGAAAACGCAGAGGTCTGGACTGCAGGTCCCCTTCAGCTCAGAAGGTTTTAAACAATTGGCCTGTTTCCTGGGAGGACGACCTTAGGCATCTATCAGGCTAGCAACAGCATTTGGAAGACGTCTTTCTCCAAGCCCCTCAACCAGAGCTGAGCAGACAGGGCTCATTCATCCCCTAAACCAACAGGAACACAGCAATTACAAGGCTGAAGGAATGATGTGGTGAGTTACTGCAGCAGAGAAAGGAGCTGTAAAGTCCCAGTTTCCACTCCTCTCCACTCTGTGTCACACGTTTTAGCCCACGCAGACTGCTGTGCGCAGCCCCTGCACCCCTGCAACCATAAACCACAATCTTGCCTTCCCAGAGAGCAACCTCATGCTCTGCACTAGATGTAACATGAGTGCTAAGGGTGCACAGTGGATTGTCCCCCTGCACATCTTCAGAGACTGGCAGTAACTTGCCCTTCCCTGGAGACTCGGCTAACCATCAGGTTTAGGCAAAGGGGTGTAAACCAGTGGTCTGATTTGGTCTTTCAGACCTCAGGATCTAAACTGCACCCAAAGTCCTGAAGCAAGGAAGCAGACAGCTCAGCTACTCCAGACTACTACTGCTCCCAAAGCCAGCACCTCCCCTGTGCCAGAGCCTTCACTGCAGCGGGCAGTAAGCAGAGGAGCAGCCTGAAACATTAAAACTAACTGCAAAGCCCTGTGAAGTTAACACTCTGCAGGGCTTCTCATTCACTGGCCCAGGTAGAGAGATGTGCCAAGATTAATCTGGCTAATTAAGCCATCCTGGGGGCAGGAGAGGCAGAAATTAATCTGTGCAAAGGAGAAATGGCCCTGGAGATAGAATCAATAGAAGCAATCTACACAGAGACAAGAAACAGATATTCCTTGACATGAAGAAACATGTGGCAACAAAAAAGAATGATGCAGCGGAAAAGGAATCCATCCTTGGTGTTTATACATAACAAAATGCTGAGCAAGAGAGAGCACTATAGTTAGGAAAGCCAGAGAAGCTAGCCACTCAAGCATGGAAAGTTAGAGAGGTTATTTCAATCAGGAAGGTTATTTGAATCAGTGTCAAACACAAGAGGAGGTTGACAACAGCCTCAGTACTAAAAAAAAATATTTCATAGACGTCAGTGGAAATATGAGAAAACTCACAAGGGTCACTCATATCATTTGTCTGAGTAACCTCAGAAAGGAACCGGAGGTGTTTTTGAAACAAAACAGATTTATGTAGGACAGCTGATACCTCAGGCTACTTTTTGTTGTTGTTGTTTAGGAAGAGCTAAATTAACTGCTCCTGCTCAGCTGTTATGGTCATACCCTTTCCTGCCATTCAGCAGTAGTACCTGACAGAGTAGGCAGCTCTGCCCAGCAAACCCACCAGTACAGGACCAGGGCCCCTGTTGTTCTCCTGTACGGGTTTGTGTGGAGCAAGACAAAGCCAGACATGGTCACAAGAGTGCCTTACAAGCTACAGGGTTCTAACAAACCACAGACCCCTGTCCTCTCCTTTACCTCAAAGGCAAATGCATGCTTTAGAAAAAAACAGAAGAGGTTTATAGAAAAGTCAGGCTGGAAGGGACCTCAGGAGGTCTCTAGCCCAACGTCTTGCTCAAAGCAGGGCCAGCAACAGGACTGGATCAGGTTGCTTGGGGCCTTATCCAGTCAGCCTTGAAAACCTCTGAGAATGGAGGCAGCAAAACCTTTCTGGGCATCCTGCTCTGCTGCCTGACTGTCCCTGCAGTGAAAAAGGTGACATTTTTTCTTACATTCAACTGGGCCAAGTTTTCTTGTTTCAATGTATGCCTGCTGTTTCTCATACTCCCACCACACATTGCTGTGAAGAGCCTATCTCTGCCTTCTCTGTAACAGCCCCGCAGGTAGGGGCAGGCTGCTATGAGGTCCTCAAAACTATCTCTTCTCCAAGCTGAACAAGAGCTAGTCCTTCAGCATCTCCTCTGTGAGTGAGTGTGTGCTCCAGCCCTTGATCATCCAGGTAGCTCTTCCCTGCACTTGCACCCCTTTTGTATCTTTCTTGGACTGGGGGGCTCAAGACTGGACTCAATACTCCAGAAGTAGTGTAACTAGTGCAGAGAAGAGGGAGATAATAACTTCTCTAGATCTGCTGGCCATGCTCCTGAAAGTTGGTGGCCTTCTCTGTGGCCTAGATGCTCTGCCATCTCGCATTCAGCTCACTGCCCAACAGCCTTCTGCAGAGCTGCTCCCCACTCCATCAGCCCCAGCCTCTATTACTGTTAAAGGCTCTTGCTACTCAGGCACAAGAGTTGGCATCTGTCCTTGGTGTATTTCTTAAGGTTTCTGCTGACCCAATCCTGCAGCCCCTCCAGGTCTCTCTGGATGGTGGCCCTGCCCTTGAGTATATTGACTAGTTTACCCTCTTTGGTGTCACCTGTAAACTTGGAATGTCTGTTCTCCAATACCTCTTTTCCTCATTAAAATATTAAAAAGTCCTTTCAGTACTCAACTTCTTACTGGCTTCTAACATGAGTAACCAGGATCATGAGAAGCTGCCTTCAGATACATTCAAAAGCATGTCAGTGGTGGCCCTGCCCTTGAGTATATTGACTAGTTTACCCTCTTTGGTGTCACCTGTAAACTTGGAATGTCTGTTCTCCAATACCTCTTTTCCTCATTAAAATATTAAAAAGTCCTTTCAGTACTCAACTTCTTACTGGCTTCTAACATGAGTAACCAGGATCATGAGAAGCTGCCTTCAGATACATTCAAAAGCATGTCAGTGGCATGAAATCACCTCTGTGTTATCACACTGATGGACTAGCAGGTCCTATAAAGTTAGGACAGCTGAAGGCCACCAGGAAACTAAGACAACATAAGGGAACAGCAGAAGTACTTGAGTCACATCTAATTTTCCTTATGTAGGCTTTTTGCGTTGACTTTAGGGGGAGGTAATTCATGACTTGCCCATGTCAGGGTGGTCACCAGACCACCCCTGTTTATTGTCCCAGCCCAAGCAACTACCACAGCTTCCAGATCAAGACAGTGACTTTTGTTTGCATTCCAGGAACTCAGATCCTGTAGCTGAGGTTAAAAGAAATCATCATCATCTTCACATAGATGGGAAAGGTTCTGCAAAAAGCATTTGGGAAGAGGACAAATGTTTCAGAGCCCCATCTCCCAGTTACTACTACTAAGTTAAAGCACACTCATTCCCCTGCCTCATGCTTTGCAAAGTCCTTCTAAATGCTCTGGCCATTACAGACTAAATCCATTGGGAAGCATGATTGTTTACCAACACGTGTAAGACTAACATTGGAGGCTACTCAAAAGAACATCACACTATTCACCCAGACCCAAAGATAAAAATTCCTAAATACATCATCTATAGAGATGCATCTGGAATTAATTTCAACCTAATGAGTCAAAGGCAAAAAACCATGTGCAAAAGAAGAAATTGCATGTGGAGCAATTAATACTTAAGTTTGCCCAAAAAGATTACATTTGTACTTCTACCCAGTCTCCTGAGGCTAACAAGCCAGCAACATGTCAAAAAAGCAAGGACAGGTTGGATCTGAAACTTTTTCTACTTTCAAATGTGGCTTTGCACGGCTTCCTACGGAAATAAGGCTCATACGATTGCAGGGACTTCATACAGCATGCCCACATGTGCATTTGTGTCTGTTCTCCCCTAACAACTTCTGAACACGCTGCCAGACCTGGATAAGTAATAAATGAGTGCCAAAGACCTTTAACTTCCTAACAATTTTATGAAAGTAATGGGCCAGGCAAAAAAAGATAAACCATTAATACCCTGACTTGGAAAAAAGCTTATCTCACCCTTTTTAGGTATCAGAGAGTCCAGATGGGAAGCCATACGTCCACAGCTCTCCTGCTGGCAGGGCGGCTTGTTATCAGTGACTACATGGCTGTTCCTGTCTGCAGACTATTTGTAACAAGACAGATCCACTCCCCCAGGGCCCTCAGCTCCACGTCTGCACTACATATCACTAGTGCAGCCCTTAGCACTCTGTGACCACTGTGCTAGGCATAGAGGAAACAGAACAGAGAAGACCTGTACTCTTTACTAAGTCACAGGGCAAGGGGGACACACTGTATTTGCAGTACATAATTTTTACTGCTGAAAATGCCCCTCTAATAAAAGCTGAAAAGACCTCTCTGCATTACATCTAAAAAGGTTATTTTTCCATTAGTCACAGGCTAAAATCTGCATCTCACATTTCCAGCCTCAGATCTGTCGAGTTGTTTCCCAAGGTGAAATGAGTAAAGAGGACTTTCAGTTTTTGAGTTTCATCAAAATCAGGGGCAGCCAAACAGACATTTCTGGATCTCTGCCAGATAAGAGTCCTCTTTCCCCCACTGTCTTCCAAACATTTCCGAAAAAAGAGCATTAAAGAAATGCCAGGATGCTTACCTGCATAGGATGAGACAGGGGAGATCTGTAGGGGGTACAGCTGGCTCATGCTGAGGGGCTGTTCGTCGCTTTCTGTTGTCACCTCTACTACCTGGCAAACATCAGGGGGATTGGCAACTATCACCTGCTCCTCACTGCTGCCATCAAGGTGCTGCTGTCCTACAACTTGGGGTTAGAAATAAAAAAATTTGTTACTCACAATGCCTCAACCCCACTGGATCTCTAAGAGCCTGCCCTTGGAGACTGCTTGGTATTTGAGTGAGTTTTCAATACCATCTTGGCATGTTCTTCCATGCCCACCACGTGCTTTCAATGGGACTTCTGAAGGAAACACGTGTGATTTATTTAGTTAGCATCACCTTTAGAGACATTTTTCCCCACCTGTGACGACTGAAAATGCGTAAGTGTCCCCTGGCTCTCACACATAATGTCCTTGAGCCCTCCTTGACATACCAGCTGTCCAGAGGCTTTCCCAGGGAAGACCACACCACACTCCTCCTCCACCCGGAAATGTGGTCTCCTTGGGACATACGGACCCCAGCAATCTCTCATAATCTGGGAAAATGGCATTCTCACCCAGCAAGCTGCCAACATGCCATGGCCTTCGGATGCTCTCATGCAAATTATGCACCAGAAGGCCAGAACTGGCATGCAAAAAACTGTCCACATGGTCAAGTAAAACACGGTGGGAGTCTGATTTATACAAGACATGCATGTGTGAAAAATTTATTCTCCAATTAGATGCTTACTCTCACTGATCCTTTCAATGCCAGTGATGGTATGGAGAAAAGCACAGTTGTATCTGTGGTCTGTAATCCTTGTGGTCTATGACTGAAAGCTACAGTTTGGTTGTTATTAGCAGAGGGTTTTCCTCTTCCCTCAGGCACCAGATATTTAAGCACCAAAGGAACATTATTTTATTTCTACAAAGTGAAGACACCATGAATGCTTTGCAAGCATCCTGAAATGCTTTGCAGACATTAGTTGTGCTACACAACACCCTTTTGTAACGGGAAAAAACTGAGGTACCAAGAAGTTACCGAGCTAAGCAGAACTATAGTGAAAGCCAGAATCTCACTTCTGCGGGGCTGCCTGAGACAATTCCTTTTGTCTTGTACAACTACCCTAACAATCCCAGCAGCATTAACACATGACAACTGCATTAATCCAGCATGGAGCTGAAAGCCACTTGCTAGATTTGAAGAGCACATGGGGATGAAGCTGTCTCAGAGGACAGCTAACTTGAATCCAGAGTTGTCCAAGAGAACAGAAAGGACTGTAGATACTCTTTCACTGGAACATAAAGCTTCAAAAGGAACAATCATACAGACAAATTCTGTACAAACACAGTGCTGTGTTGCTAGAAATTCAGACAGTATATTTTTTCTAGACTCATGATGGGAAAAAAAATGAAGGCAATAAAAGACAGTAGATCCTGAAATTCCTCTGTTAAGTGACCTAAGTACTCTAATTATTAATTTTTTAAAAGGCAAAAGGTAGCATATACTCCTGGATGAACTAAGATAAATATAAAGTAATGCACATGTATATACACAGAATCCATTCCTGCCTTCTATCTTTAGACAGGCCCAGAACATGACTACTTGAAAAAGAAAACTGACAGGCTTTACTCCCAGAGAAAAGCTGCATTTAATTCTGCTCTGTGAAGTGCCAGGTAATCACTAGAAACTCTCCCAAACCTGGGTATGTATTTTATAAGACAATTCCAGCATCACAAAAATTACTTAAATAGTGCATAGTCTTTTTTTCAGAAGTTGAATCACTACAAGTATTACAATTTTGTTGTAGATATTTTAGTTCCACTGTATTTCTACCTTTCCTGGTTCTGAAACAAGCTGCTTTTTTTAAGGGGGGTGCAGGGGGCAAGAGCATATATACACAGTTAATTTTTATCTGGGAGAAACTAATATTGTGCAACCCTGTCAGGGTACGAAGTGGTTATCTGCACAATCTTTCCCTTCAATACCTCATGAATTCTTACCCACTCTGAGAGCGTATCAAAAATTACTGCTCCCTTGGGCAAAATGCCACCATTTTCCCATGAGCTACATGTGTATCAGAAACACTGCAGCTGCTGTTTGTCTTTTCTCTCCTCCAGCTGATTTACCTACTTTCTACAGAACAGACCTATTTTATCCTTTTCCCCCTATTTATGTTAAAATCCTGCTTGCAGTCCTAAGTAAGGACTTCTCTCTCTAGCCTGGTGAAGCAGCACATTTCACAAGCAATTAATGAAACAACACTGGATGACAGTTACTCACACAAGCCTTGCTGTTCCTACCCCTGAAAATGGATTCTATGAGGCCAAAGAAAAATGAAAGCCCTTAATAAGGTGCAAATTCAGTTCTGTTCCTCTGAACCTCTTGCTTAGCTTTCACGACAGACTTTTGAGCATTCTTAGATGTCGATGTTGCCACTATGGGTCCTGTCCTGTAAATTACTGTGATCTTCTAAGGTGCAACATGCATTCATCTCATCTTAATATCAAACAGGAGTTCAGGATACAGTGCACTGTAGAAAATTATGCTCTGATGTTAGTAGGTTTTGGAGAACACTAGGTATGTTCCAAAGACTGCTGTTAATTGATCTCTGCTTGACTTTAAGACTGTAAAACAAAGCAAAAGTGTAGGAAGCTTCTTCCCTGGAACTGCGTATTTGCCTTGGTATGTTTCAGACTTATTTATGAGTCAGTCAGTAAACAGGAAGCACTAATAGCACTACAGTGCTATTTCTACAAGTTATAAAACACTCTGTAATAGCAGAAGCAACAATCGTTCTTACACTCTTATAAAGCAACAGCTGATTAAATTAACTGCCATAAAGAGGAAAACTACACTCAAACTCCTCAGCCAAAGAAGCACTTGAGAGTGCAATGTGAAGCCCTGTGACCTGGGCATCAAAAATAGTCACTACATGTAATTTCTGCCATGTCTCCAAACAGAAGAATAATATTATTTTTCAAACACCTTTCTGACATGTATAAAAGTGGAATTCTAGAGAAAACAGTATATGGGTCACATTTCTAGGAGCTCCTGCTGCAGTGACAACCCCAGCCAAAAAAGAACTGTCAAAACCCAGCCCAATTATTCTATTGAGAGCCAATTATTCACATGCTGAGATGACGGCTAATTCCTAATGTACCTGTTTTTAAATGCAGTCTTCACTGATCCTTGTTGTTAGCTCAGTGATGCCAAGAACTAATTCTCCTACTGCCAGCAAAAAACCCCAAAGATCCTCCATTTTCTCTGCAGGTTTAAACTCCCAAATAAACAGCACCTTTTGAGCAATGGGAAACTGCCATCTGACTGCAGTTTAACTCCCCTATGACACTGGCTACCACCTCCTCATAGCTGAGGGCTACCCTATGGAGTAACTTCATGTCAGAAAATGTCACCTGGGCATGTTTGCAAATGGTTTGCTCTCAGGGGAACCACTGTGCTGCTGCTCACAATCTCTGCAAGGCAATGGGGAGGGATGGCTACCAGGACCTCCCATGGTTTGGGCTACTGGAAAACGCATTGACCTGATTGTAACCACGGTGCAAAATGCTGATGGAAAGCTGAGTTTGGCAGAGTCACTGAAGTTTCTGAAATCATCTGTATGCTTAGCATATAAGAAAAGCACATGAGTACTTACCTACAAAGTTCACTGTACTGTCAACTTCATTTTTTATACTGGAGGACAGGAAATAGTCAGAAGTGACATCATTTAGCCCATTAATCCCAAAAGATGATTCAACTGGCTCTTGCTAGAATGAAAACAGTACAGTTGGGTCAGGTTTAATTTATTTGAGGAGCCTGGATTCACTAATCTCTTTGTTCTAAGATGGTAACAAATCATATTGTTTCTGCCTGCCATATACCCCAGCTCTCTTTTTGACACGGTCCTAGAATGAACATGCTGGTTCTCTGAGATGGAGCCAGTAGTTTATTCCATTTCCAAATCTTCTGCTTTGAAACAAAAGCCATTTTTTGTTTTCAGATTTAGAGTGAGCCTTCAGAAAGCAGGAAATTAGTGTGCTATTTACTACAAGAGATTAAAATTTGGAACAAATAAGGAAGAAACACTGCTTTAAAACAGTGCTGTATCTCTCAGTGTTCTCTGAAAGGAAGCCTTAGCTTCTGTACAGCAATTACTAAATTCTAGCCTTAATTCTTCTCTACAGCAAGCCTGAAACAAACCAAAGTGTTTACACTAAATACAGCCTTTTAGATTACATCATAAACATTACCACAGCGTTGGTAAAACACCACCTGTTCTACAAAGACTGAGCTTTCTACAAGATGCATCTCTGTAGGCCTGGTACACTTGAGTGGAAATCTAAAAAACTTTCTTTAGAATAGATCCCAAGAAGTTTAGTTCCATACTCAGGATTTATTTAAAAAGCTGTAAACCCATTTAAAGATTATCTACAGGTCCAGCCTTCTCCCTGGTATTGGCTCTCTTATGGGGTTATTGGTTACAAAGTCTAAAGTCTTCTGCTCTTACTCTGGGCTGCCTGTGCCATTTCGGCAAGGGAAATTCTGCCTTTCTGCTGACCCAGAGACACGCACAGAGAGGTGCAGGGCTGCCAGTTGAATCTGATGCCATGCCATGCCCATTTTCACTGCTCTAAAGCATTTTGGCAAAGGCAGGATAAAGGTAAGGCTCAAGGCTTGTGGTGCCAGTCACACTACTAACCGTATGCATGTCTTATGGGGGCAAAAAAATGGGGACAATGAAAGGTCTTTCCTACATGCCACATGCTGAAACTCAAAAAGACATATCACTTTGACACAAGTTTGCACCTCCCCAGCCAGGAAGCTAGGCTGTAATACACACAGGCACCCTGCCCCAAGGCCCCTCTGCACAAAGGGGGTGAAAAGTTAGTGTTAATGACACCTAGGTCTTTGATGCACCGCACCCGCTGTGTCAACCCACAGGTCAAACAATTGGAGAGCTGGAAAAGATAAAATTAGCTGTCATTGATTCACTGAGGATCACTGACTGCAGAGACATATTAGGGTTGCACACTGCAGCCCTAAGCCATTCGTGTTGTGCAATGTCCCAGCAAACACAACAGCCCCCAGGGGAACCCTGCACACACAGCAGCGTGTTCAGCTTTACAGGGGCTTGGTTACAGGGGAACTGATTTCGTAGCCCCCTTCAAGAGACAAATATCCTGGAACTTGGGTGATGGTGCCACACTGATGAAGGAACTTGGATGCTGGCACAGTTGCTTTTAAATCACCTAAATTTTCGGTGTCCAGAATGCCTGGTGGAAGCCTAAACTAAATGCATGGGGAAAGGTGTCCCATTTTTTAAAATGTCTCAATGGGGAGCTGCATGCATAGTCAAAAGGATTCATCCAGGATAAGGCAGAAGTGAAGTCTCAGACAGGCAATTCAGCCCTTAATTTTGCGTCAAAGGAAAAAGCCTAGGCTAGTCACATGCTTATGGCCCTCCTCCCATTGCTGAGAATTCATGTTTTCTTGGAGAGACCCTATTTGCCCCAAAGCCCAGTGGTCAGAGATATACCTGCGAGTTAGAACTGCTTGCAGCCCCACTTGCCGAACGTGGAGTAGGGATTTGGTAAGGCCCAGGTCTTGTCACATCCATGGCCACAAGCAGGGAAGTGCCCTAAGCTCAAGCTCAGCAAGGCCTGGCAGGGCTCTTCACTCCCACCTGCAGCTGCTGTGGTGCCCACAGGGGCAAACAATGGCAACAGTGGAAAGCTCAATGTGAGAGTCTTGCTACGCTGAAGTCCCTTTGCAGATCTGCACTTGGATCCTCAGCTTCTCCCTCTGCTGATATTACCCTATTGCAGTCACCAGGCAGATCGTGGAGCAGCCTCCCACTCACTCAGCTCCACTAAAGAGAGGTTTTCAGGGTAACTGCAAGGCATTCAATGCAAAACATGCAACCTGCATCTCAGGAATTCACAACATCAAGCAGCTTTCAATACCCAGAAATGTGCATTTGCATTAATTTATCCACCACCCTTCTATGCTGTTATAGCTTTCAACATTGAATAGTCAGTCTATCAGTGGCTGAGCATGGAAGGAACACCTATGTGAAAATCCAGGCATACCTAGAGGCCATCCCGTGTATGCAATTGTTAGAATAAGGGGGGAGCAGACAGGAATACTGCCTGCCCCACCTCACAGTCTACAAGAGCTAAGTGGCCATACCATGGTTGGTGGCTGGTGAGCCATATGCTTATAGCAGGCATCACTGACAGGTGTGCATGTGCTGGAGGCACGGCCAGTTCAGCTCACTACTCTTGCCTCAACTCGCTCTAGTGCGTCTGTGCAGCTCAGGGCAAAGGAGATGGAGGAAAGTGCTCCCAAAAGCTGCCAGCATTGCCCCACTGGCACCTACTGCTAACATCACATGTTCCAGACATCTCCACTGGGATTCTGCAGAAATGAATGCTTGTGAGATTAAACTTAATGGAGAGGATGAAACTGTTCAAGTGCCTCCACAGCTTTAGACACTAAATATTTTGACTAATTATGAAGCAGGGGAATAGCAAAGTACTGCTGCCAGCTTTGCCAGGCATTACACACTGCTCTGACCAAAGGAGCTCACTGCCCCTCTCTGAACATAGGTTACCATCAGAGTCAGGTTATAACAATCACACGTGGCTATGTGATCCAGAGAAGATGGTTAAAAAGTGGTTCCTTTAAGACAATTTAAAAATCACATTATTCTGACATGTAACTTCACAAGTCACAAATGCCAGGAAAGCATCTGCCTTCCAAACCTGATTTCAATGGAGGAGTTCCCCCAGGCCTCCAGATTCACCCAGCTCAGAGCATCTCCTGGCCAGCAGGTGCAGGACCTGTCTCCAGGTGTGGGTGGCACAGCCTCTCACAAGTGAGCAGCAGGAGACCGAGCTGCCCTTCTGCTGCAGACAGGGCTGCTACGTGCAACCCAAGGATATTGACTGAAAGCCTGAAACCTCTGTGATTCGCTTTTTGAAAACAACTGAAGGCAGACCAGAGCCTGTAGGTATGTAATACTGATCATCCCAAAGAGGCACTCACTCAGCAGTAAGTGTGAAAGCTAGGGAACACCATGCTTTG